ATCACCGTCACAAATGACAGATACAAAATGGAGATAACGGATTAACAGAGCACCCTCTCCTCTCTCAACACTAATTACCAGTAGCCTTAGATGTACCAGCCCTAGATGAACCAGCAGCCCCATCTGCATCTTCATCAAGGTATAGATTCTTGAAGGTGTCCTCTAGCTCTTGGTTGTCAACAGCATGTTGTAATCTTCTTTATCCCAACTCCTAATCCTTTATATACCCAGCATCTCCACAGTTTTAGGCAACAGGCGGTGAAGTTGCTCTTCAATTATTCTTCCTGTCAAGCTGAAACATGATTCCGAAGAGACAGTAGAAATAGGAACTGACATAATATCTCTAGCCATTATAGATAGGATTGGATATGTTAGTTTATGGTCACGCCACCAGAGAAGTAAATCAAAATCATCCTCATATGCAGTGACATTATCACTGTCCAGATAAACTGAGAGCTCACTAGCAGTAGAAGTAGACGAAGATAAAGTAGGGGCACAGGCAAGGGAAGGACCAACAACAGATCTAGGGCCACTAAATATTCTTTCCCATGCTTGTTTTTTCTTACCTGTATGGCTTGCAGGCTGTGCAGGCCTTTGAGTCCTAGCTGCACCAAACTTTCTCTCGCACACGTCGTCCATGGCCTCCACTCCGACGGTCGTGGTGGCGCTGAAGGGGGCTAGGATTCGAGCGGTGGCGCCGAAGGGGGCTAGAGTTTCAGGCGATGGTGCGGCGGCGGCGAAAGGTAGGGCTGTAGTCGTTCCGGATGACTTTACTCCACCGTCACTGCGCATCTGGCCGTTCCCTTGTATCCGACGGTGACTAGGACTCGAGCATGTGTGTTGCCCCACGCTCTGCTCTGGGCTTCACCCAATATCGACCGCGGCATCGGGAATTTTAAAGCGCGATATTTGGGTGGCGCGACTGCGTTTTGGCACGAGTGTTGAAGGCTTGCCGCGGAGATCGGACTTCTTCGGAAGTGGATTTTCCAAATGTCCCTGCGGCCACACGGGTTATCCTGGGCGTGTACCATGTGCTTGTGTTAAGATTCACACTCAATAATGAAGAGGCAATACATTTTAGGCCCCATTTAGCTAGGCTTCGGACGGCTTTGGCTCCCTCGTCGAATCACTGGTTTTATGCACCGTTCACCGAAGCCGTTTTTCTCTCTCCTCAATTTCCTCTCTCACTGACACCACCGGAGCCAGAGAAGTTCATTTTTTTGGCTCCCGTGGCTCCGGCTACAGTGTCGCTATAGTGTAGGAGCCGAGCATGTGGGAGCCCGCCCAAACGGGGCCTCAATCAATTCAACTACCAAGGGCAAATAAGGAAGTTTACAAGTCGTCCTGGGCAGAGCCATAAATGTTGAGTACAATTGGCCAACGGGCCGGCCTTGGCACGAACAGTATCGGACCGGTACGGCACACCGTGCATCTCGGGCCGAGCCTCTCCGGGCCTCGTGTCTGGTCTTCGGCCTAAGCACGGCACTACGGACCGCAATTCATGTCGTGCCGGCCCGTTGAGCACGGCCAAAATTACGTGCCGTGTCAGCCCACAGCCCGATGACCTCAAAACCCCTCAAAAAGATTCACTCATCAAACACTTATCAAATTTCACAAGTCACAACTCAAACAAAGGCACAATCTGTCAAAACACTCAACTGTTCAAACTTCTAAGTCAAAACTCAAACAATCTCAAATCCAACAAAATAAGAAACAGAGCCACAGAGGAGAATTTAAAAGATAAATGAGCTGTTTGTGCAATGATGCCCCATTAAAAAACCCTTTTCAGGTAAAACTCATCCTTGTGAGGAACCCTAGAAAGGGGAAAAGAGTGCAGCACAACTCTAAATAAGTCTTCCATCATTGTTCAAAGGTCTCAAGTCACAGTCACAGATAATAGATACAAAATGGAGATAACATATTAATAGAGCACTCTCTCATCTCTCACACTAATTACCAGCAGCTCTAAATGTACCAGCCCCAGATGAACCAGCAGTACCAGTAGCCCCATCTGCATCTTCATCAAGGTACAGATTCTTGAAGGAGTCCTACAGCTCTTGGTTGTTAACAGCATGCTGTAATCTTTTTTCTCCCAACTCCCAATCCTTTATTCAGGCCAACATCTCCATAGTTTCAGGCAACAGGTGGTGTCGCCGCTCTTCAATTATCTTTTCTATCAAGCTAAAACATAATTCCGAAGAGTCAGTAGAAACAGAAACAGACATAATATCTCTAGCCATTATAGACAGGATTGGATAGGTTAGTTTGTGATCATGCCACCAGAGAAGTATATCAAAATCATCCTCATATGCAGTGACATTGTCACTGTCTAGATAAACTGAGAGCTCACTAGCAGTAGAAGCAAATGAAGATAAAGTGGAGGCATAGGCGGGGAAGGACCAACAACAGATCCAGGGTCTTCAAAGATTTGTTTCCATGCCTGTTTTTTCTTACCTGTATGGCTTGCAGGGTGTGCAGCCCTTTGAGTCCTAGCTGCACTAAACTTTCTCTCACATTTGTTAAATAACTTGTAAATTTCAGCTTTCACATTAGCATAATATGAAGTATAATCATAACTAGTGCTCTCTTTAAGTAATTCTAGGACTCTAAATAAACCTCTCATCTTAGCTCTAGTATTAAGAATGAATGCAAATGAATATAACTAAGGTATATGATGTCAGTATTTAAAGAATTTAAGCTTCATAAGATATATAACAGCAATTAGATTTTGATCTTTTTCACTTGCATGTAAATGAGAATTAATTTCTAGCAGATGGTGCAGGATAAGTGGACTAGTTGGATAGTAGACATCAGAAAGAACAACAGTGGTGACATAAAATACTTTTAGAAACTCTAATATATTTTCAATTATATATCAAGGTCTTACAGACAACAATTCAGAGTCATAATTGGAATTAATGAACACAGAAAAAATATGCTTATATGAAACCAAGTGTTTAAGCATAAGATATGTAGCATTCCATCTAACATCCATATCTAAGCTAAACTTTATAGGTCTAACACCCTTAGCAGTACAGTAGTTCTTAAAATAGTAATTCTTTGATTAGAAGAATTTAAGAAGTTAATAGCAGTTCTAAAATATTCTGTGTAAGGTTTGAACCTCTTTAAACCAGATTTTACAATCAGATTAATGATATGACAAGCACAACATTGATGCATAAGACTGTACTAACGCTTAGAAGGATCAACGGGCTCAGGTATAGGATCAGGACCCAAATAACCAGCAAACATAGGTGTCAAAGTTTTCATAGCCTTAGCATTAGAAGAAGCATTATCTAGAGTTACAGAGAAAATCTTATCAATCAGACCAAATCCTCAACCACACAAGCAACTCTTTCAGCAATATTTTCACCCGTATGTTTCACCTCAATCAAGCTAAGCCTAATAACATTTCTCTGTAACTCCCAATCAGCACTCACAAAATGAGCAACAACACTAATATAATCCTCCTTAACATTACCAGACCAAATGCCTGTTGTCAAAACAACAGAGAAAGCAGCAGATAGAATTCTTAAACATATTACGACGTTCAGTAAACAGTTTATTTAGATCTCTATTGGTGGTCTATCTAGATGCTTTAATAAACCTAGAGTTATAAGAATGAACAATGTAATACTTCCAGGCCTCTGTCTCACCAATACCCAACAACAAATTAAGTCTAGCAATTAAGTGACACAATTCAGATCTACCAACATTAGGTTTATACTTCTAGTTAAGCACAGAACCATTAGAATTATAAGCAAGTCAGATTGAACCTAGCAGCTTGATCAATTTTTTGGCTATAAGATTTCTGATGCATCTTCCTAGTGTCAATATTAGATCTCGCAGATAATATTTGCTTATCCATTTTATTGGTAGCTTTAGTGCAAATCTCAGAACCATTCACGGCCTCGTATATCTCGTCAAAATCGGCTGATTTACGCCTGCCAACACCAGTTTCATACTAGTATCTTTCGGTTCACCAATCTGAAATGTCCCGAAACTAGCATCCGAGCTGCGACAGCGGCGCAACCCACTACACTTCCTTCTACCAGTTCAAAGCAGATGGATTCGGGATGCACTGCGTCGATAGGTCGTGGGGCGATTCATGAAAAGGCTCCAGGAGCGGCGATGAAGGAGCGGAACTGCGGAAGATGTGGAATTGGAGGCGAGACAAAGCCAATCTGCGCTTCCGAAGGCCTCTGTAGATACGTGCAATGTAGAAGACCACAGATTGCGAGGAACACCAGGGAGCGAAGGTGAAGCAGAACAGCGTCACCCGCCACGAGAACCAGCAGATGTTCGGCAAGGATCCACTAGTTCAGCTACCGAATTGGAGGTTCAGGTAATTGTTATTTATGAGACCTTTGATTATAAGTTTGGATTACATTTCGGAAAGTATAGATTTCAGTACAGTAAACCCTACGGATTGTGCAGAACACAGCAACAAGAATACCTTCCAGTGTATGCAAATGTCGTCTAGGATGGGGAATCCTCTATCTCCAAGTAAGTGGGTTCCTACATTTCCTAGTTACTGTCGAGCAATCTCAGATAGTCAGATCTTATGGAATAGAGAAATGATAGTCTAGTATGCCTACGAATATCTAGATAATATCTTTGGTAAGTCCAAAATAAAAGACATGCCTGCTCAACTAGTAGAGAACTAAGATCTAAGTTTGGATATTGTATTATGATTCAGCAACTTGGATTCGACTATAAATGACTTGCTTAATCGTGTGTTATGCCTGCTAGTGTTGTCAACCTGAAACTGAATGCAAAATATATACTATAGACTACAAATACATTTGCTGAAACTGAATGCAAGAAAAAAAGATAAACATTTGTCAACCTGAAATACCTGAATAATTCAGTCATGCCAACCTCAAGTCTACTATGCAAAATATATACTATAGACTACAAATACTCAAGATGCAATAGTGACCAGAAAAATGTATTATTGTCATGAAGGAATTGGCGATTGCACGAGTCTATAGGAGTTAATGCATGGATTTAGCAGTGGTATAATAAGCATATTGGATTACCAAGAAGACCTTCAAATTGGTGCAGCAAGTTGTGTGCTGGAATGTCAACTACGTGATGCAGAAAACTGTGTACAAGACAGTTATCCAGAGAGCGATGAGGACAATGAGCATGAAGACTGTAGTGATGCAGCTAGTTGTGAAGATAGTGAAATTGACGATAACAAACAGACCAGCGATGGAATTGGAGTAGTGGTGGAATTATCATTTAGTACAAGCGAGAAAGATCTTGAATGTTTTGATTGGGAAAAGTTTTACTCTACTGGAGATCTTGTCAGGAAAATAGATTCTAGTGAAACAGCAGGAACTGAGGACATTCAGGAACAAATAACTACAGAAACACTCGGATGGAAGAAAAGGTGCTTTCTGAGTTACAAGCCAGGAATTTTAAAAAACTGTTTGTTTATTAACAATGCCAAACTTTACATGAACTTGCTTGCCTTTTTTTCCAGAGGAGAGTTCCAACTCTGTGCAACCGGGAGGCATTCAGGAAGCCACGGGGCATGGGAGCAGTAGAACGATCCATGAGGCGATATTGTGAGAAAAGGGAAGGAACTATATTTGAACCATATGTTGGTCTAGAGTTTGATTCAGAAGCAGAGGCATTTAAATACGGCTATCAGACATCTAGGGTCTTGGTCTGCCAGAGATGGGTAAAATAATACCATGTAAAATCCAGTCACAATCACAAGTTAGATATGTTTACTAGTCAAGAAGACAAAAGTAAACTCCCCCAAAAAAAAAGAAGATAAAGGTAAACTGCAAGTGTTCATACATCTTACAAGTGTTCTTTTGAATTTGCCACATGCAGGGTTTTGATAAGCGTGTGAAAACAAAGACGAAAGGATGCAACTGCAAGGCGATGATTAAATTGCACTGGACAGAAGATGATGGCTGGTTCATATCAACATTTGTAAAAGAACATAACCATGAATTATCAGCAACAGATCAAGAGAAAAAAGAATGGAACTCCCATGGAGACATAGATCAGGCAACAAGGGACATGATAAAATATCTACGGGAAAACAATATCTCACTCAGTAAAGTACATTGCATAATGGGTAGCATGTTTGGCAGTATGGACAACATTCCTTTCACTAGGAGGTGCACATATTGCAAGGGAACATCGGGATCATGACATAAAGAAGACTTTGGAACTATTTAGGCACATGCGTTCTGAGGATCCCGGATTTCAATTCAGTGTCGATCTTGATGAGAAGGACCAAATAAAGACACTGATGTGGGCACTAGGTAGAAGCAGAAGCAACTGTAGCTGCTTTGGTGATGCTGTGACATTTGACACTACTTACTGCACAAATCTATACAAGAAGCCTTTTGGCCTGTTCGTTGGGGTCAATAACCATTTCCAGAGCACTATTTTTGCTGGGGTATTGATAAGGGATGAGACAGCGGAAAGCTTCGAGTGGGTATTTAGGGAATTCTTGCAATTAATGGGTGGTGTCCACCCACAAACTTTACTAACAGGTAATAGACGCATTTAGAAAAATATTTTTTTAGAAAGAACACGGCCTTTATTGGCGGTCCTTAACTCCTAAAATAATCGCCAACACTTGCATGAAAACCACTCAAATGAACACTAAACTTAGTGATAGGGTTTATAACTAGAAAATTTCACGAGTTTTGGTGATTCATTATTTGCAGGAGGGTATTTGTGGAAATACACAATAAAAGGCTAAAGAACAAAGAATACATATCATTCTATTCAAGCCCAAAGAAAAAAGGCTCAATCGCCATGCAAATCAGGGCCCAAATATGAGAAACAAGCCCAAACCTAATTCAAACCAACCCAACTCTGTGCCAAACCATGATGGGCCAAGCCACAAGGATCACTGGAGATCACCCACCGAAGAGGGGCTCGATGGGCCCAGCTAGGGTGCGCCTGCACCCCCAGCTGGCCCAAACAGCCCCATCTCGCGCAGGCTGCCACTTACCGACGTCCCATGGTCAGTTGCGGGGGTTTGGCGGTGCATTTCAAGAATTTGGGACCTAAGTAACACCAGGATAAGTTTAAAAATCTGAAAATGCATTCTAAGAGTTTAGGAACCTATAGTATAACCCTTAGGAACAAGTTTAGAGACCGCATATGTATTTTACTCTATTTGTTTCATCAATACAAGGCACATTTCATATACTCTAATGCAAAACATGTGTTGTGCAGTATATACCCATAGGAACACTTCACTATTTAGCTTTGCATGGTTACACGTTGTACTAAACATAATCTTTTAGATAATATAGTGAGGAGTGGTGTGGTCATCTTTCAATAGTTTCTTGCTATATATGCACATAAAACAAGCCAAGTGTGACTTAAGAAAGTGAAAACCACCACAACCTAGATGTGCACTAAAGTTTTTCATGATTCTACTCTAATAACAAGTAAGTGCGATAAGAGAATACCAAAATAAATATGTAGAGAGATGCAAACAAAGCATGGCAACTCTTTCGAGGTATGTTAGCCCTAGAACTCCTTGAACACCCTCCTCCCACATAAGATTCAAGATGCACACTAGGCTTAGTTTAGACCAATGGTCTTTATCCTTATCCTAATAACTGCTTTGATCTTTGATCTCTTCACTTGGTGGCAAGGGCAAACATATATGTGGGTGTATGTCCACAGTAGCTCTGGCAACCTTCAAACAACCGTGTATGGTGATATTTGTTATTTATAGAGTCAACTCCAAAAACTACCTGACAGAGATAGGGCTACATAAATTTTTAAACATTGTACAATGTGGTATACCACCGCACAATGTTGTATTCAATCCCCCTTTCTGAAGATTTAGAACGAATGGGAAACAACACCGCAAGATGCTTTGTCACAATGCATCTCTAATACCAGATTAATTCTATGACATACCTCACATAATGGAGTGTCCTTAGTTGAAACTTTGGTTCTTCTCCATATGTTTTTCCCTTCAACATTGTATTCTCTGGTGCCTAAATTGCATGATGCGGTACACCACCTCCGAATATGATGTTTGTTCTTTAGCTTGAATTGAAGCTATAGCAGCTCCTCTGTCTAAACACTATGTGATTAGTGAGATTTATCTATACCATAATCTTTCTCAAATCTAGATTTTATGGCTTCTTTTCTTTGATGCCGCAAGTTTTTAATTTTATATTTAGTACTAGCTAAGCATAGTGCTCATCATAAACTAGGTAAATAATGTAAAGACTCTTGGCCAACTACTAAATTTAGACTCTGTTAGTACTATATCCAAAGAGAAACGAAGTTGTCTTACTAATACATGACACTCTAAACCCTCTTATATCTTCATGTACCTCTTTTTTTCTTTGATTGTATCATTTGATGTGTTTGATTTCCCAAGTGCACCACCTAGCATTCATGTGACAAGAACTTTGCGCACTAGCGAAAATTGTTGGTCGTCCCATCCATTGATGTGTTTACATTTATCATAACAATTACCTGGACCCTATGCTAGAGTCATCATGAGTATATGCATATATATTTGTATGGTCATGTTTGTTTCATCTTGTATCATGAATTCTATCTCCAAAAGCTAATATTAAAAAAAATGTCCATTCCAAGAATTGATTCTATAAACAATTCTATTGCTGGTCTTGTTCCACTTGAATCCACTATATGGTGTAGAGATAAGGATGGCAGTTGAACCCAGGTGCCGCACCGCCATGATGTGGGCATGGGTGCCAAATTTCACTCTTGGGTTCCTACAAAAGCCCAAAATATAAGGGCCACCCTATGTGTCCAAGTATCCCATGTTCAATTGCCAACAACATGCTTATATATCTTAGATTTTTAGTCTATTTCAAGAACTTGTATATAATTACTTCATACATGTGTGTTAGACGACTAGATGTGGGATATAGTGCCTATATGGTATAGATTATATGATGCTTATGGTCAAAGTAAACTAGAACTATAAGCCAAACATCACCCTTTTCTATACCTTTTTCGGACTCACTTTTCCCCATAACCCTCATTTGTACTAATTAAAATGTGGAAGCTGTGTTAGACTAGTTCATGCTGACCACACTTTTCTGCTATTTATGCAGCTTCTTAGGAAAGTTATACCAAACATGCTCATATATAGAGAAGCAGATTAATTGCTTCTTTTTAACTTTCTATACTTATTATTAATGCAACTGTGATGTATATTACTTGTGCCTTTAATACACTAGGGGGTTCTGAGACCCACTAGTGACCCATGGGTGTGGGTGCAAAATTCGTCCATAGGATGTTATGAGGGTGTATGATAAAATATTGTTTAATAAAAGCTTCTATTTCCAAAAAAATGATAAAATATTGTGAGTTTGTCACGAGTGGGTGTTTATTCCACTGTTGTCATAGAGGTGCTTCTACAAGTCTAAAGGGTTGAACTTAGTTGGGTTTGTAGGTTAATGGAGTTATCGCTCATGCATACATTGACTCAAGCTTAGCCACTCAAAAAACACGTAGGAACCAAGACACATCACCCAAGGAGTGGTAAAGGACCCTGAGACCCAAGAGGATTCAAACCTCAAAGGCATTTGGATACAAAAGGATTCAAACTTCCAAGTGTTGTAAGGCCTAGAAATAAGATTCAAACTAGTAATTCAAAACATGGACATGAAGAACTTAAACATCAAAGGTGTTCAAAGGCTTAGAGAGTTCAAATCTCCTTAGCTTTAGAAGATTCCATAAGCGATGACTAGAAAATATGTTCATGCGTTGCTAGGGTGAAATTCATACAATGAGGAAACATGCTCGTTGCTATAGGTGAAATTTATACGAGGGAACATGCTGAACCAAGACATCCTTAGCTTTGGGTGGTAGCAGGCTAGCAGCTTCAAGCTCCCTTGGCCCATACGGGGGAGGTGCAGGGCTCCTTGAACTTGGAGCCAAGGCCATCAATTTTCCGTAGGTGAGGAGCATATCCTCTATGGATAAGAAGGTTGATCTATTACTGTCACACCTTTTTCACCACCGTACCATTTACTATGACCCATCGCTTCACCCATGCCCCCTTAAGTGTCGTCCCACAAAAGTCCATATCTCATTTGCATGTACTATCACCGTTCTATAAAGAAATTCATTATGTTAGTTTTGTCCTAAGTCAAACCATCTTAAGTTTAACCAAATTTTTAGAGATCGATATTAAAATTTGTTATACCAAATTGACATACTATGAAAATAAATTTGATGTAAATCTAATGATACTTATTTGGTATCATAAATATTTATAATTTTATATAAATTTAACCAAACATGAGATAGTCTGACTTGGAACAAAATTAGGACCAACTTTGTTTTCGCAACAGAGGAAGAAGATCAACAACATTTACGTGATAAGCACAATCTAAAACATTCTAGGAACCATAGAGGGACAGACTTAGGGTATTGTAACTCAGTAGTCAGTACGGGATGAATTGTGCAGGAGCTTGCGTGCCAGTACGCGAAGAAAGGCGCGTGCCTTTCGAGGTGGCCCGGAGGAAACAAGCGCTAGAGGGCGTCGTGGCGGCCGCCCTGGAACGTGGTGCGCTAGACGTTTTTGTAACAGAACCGACTAAATCATAAGAACGTAAGTACAAAAACAATCACCGAAGCAATCAAATTCCTGTACTTAAGCTCCCATAATCCCGGTAGTCCGGAAATCATGAAGGATTTCAACCAACTCTCGACATACAAACCAAGACCATAGCGATTCAACACAACACATCATCCGTTACAACATTTCATAAGTAGCATTCAGATTACATCCATCAGAGTTCAAATATAAAATATTACAAACCAAATTCAAACGTGCGGAAGCAACATACTTTAGTACATAACTTCATAGTTCCAAATACATTACTAGATCTTAGTCATATCCCACAAAAGCATCATTAGGTACGAGAACTAGTAGAGACCGCGCTCAACGGTCTAGTCTTCATCCCCAGCCGGGAGAAGGCAATACTTGCAGCAACTAAAGTAGAACTGGTCATCTGCAATAGGTGGGAGATAAACCCTGAGTACGAGAAGGTACTCAGCTAGACTTACCCGATAAAACCAGAAATAAAAGACACCAAGGATCATGCAAGGCTTATGAGGTGGGCTAGCTTGACACAGTTGCATAAAAGAGCTTATGATTATAGTAACCAATTTAAACTTAGCATCAA